TTTATATATGAAAATTTATCAGTAAAATACAATCTTTCCATCTACACTAGTTTCATGCATGACAAACCAACCTATACATGCTGTATATGAGAAAACACATTATGGCATATATAAGAGCTTATTTTGGAGATGCATTTGAGCTTTTGGTTCAAATGGACTTCAAACCAAATGAATACTAGTTGCATTAGCTCAAACGGCATCACATCTACATGCCATGTTCATGCATCATATTGTTGCATATGCTTGTGTTTTGATTGTTGGCACCGTTCCTTCTCGATAGGTCCTGCTCCGGAGATGTTCCAGAGTACCTGTCTGTGAAGCAGTGCCTCCCTTGTTGATTTACCAGGCAAGCAAACCCCCTTGTTCATTCCGATAAAATCCTACTCTCTCGCTCCTGCTCTTAGTTATTGCATTAGGACAACAACGATTCATCTGCTACTTTGTGCTGCGGTAGTTGAACCCATTCCTCTGCATGACCTGTCATTGCCACAGTAAATAGTTGAAACCCACTAGCATGTGTAGGAGTTGATTGAGCCATGTTGTGATTCTACCATGCTATGCCTGCTATTGCTTAGAGTTGTGTCAGGTCTGGTTCATTGGGAATGAATTGGAGTGTTACGATATGTTCTGATGCTGAGAGTGAAGTGTGTGAACACGATTTGGTAAAGGTAGCGGTGAGAGGCCATGTAAGAGTACATGGTGGGTTGTCTCGCTGGAACCGTCCTTAAGCACTAAGTTCTATGTATGTTGTCCAATGACTCGATACTACCACACATTGGGTTCCGGTAACTCGACCCCTCTCGACTTATTAACCAACTTGATCTCTGTCCAGGAGTCGCAACTAGTTTCTTGTGTCTGTAGGTAGTGCTATTTTTCTACCAAGTGGCACCCGGCAGGGTGGGCTTGGGACAGACTAGGCACACGTGGCCTGGTGTACCGAGTGGCACCCGGATGGTGGGCTCGGGAACCCTGCACAGATCGTTTGGGGCCGTGAGTGACACCCCGGCCGGATCTCCTTACGGATGGAACCCGAATAGGCGATAAACCTGGGCTAGAGTCTTGTGTGGTTAGTCAGGTCGTGGCCGACACCCTCGCCAGGCTTCCGCTTGAAGGTTGCCGAGATACATGACGTGTACATGGCAGTAAGTGGCGAGAGCGTGTGTGAAGAAGTACACCCCTGCAGGGTTAACATGATCTATTCGAATAGCGGGTCCGCGGATATGGACTTCTTGGATGCTTACATGGTACATAGACAACTTGAAGTGGATACTCTAAAATGCTCAAGACAAGTGTGAGTACTATGGATGGCCATCTCGTAGGGAGACGGGGATGAATCCATAGTGGTGTATTGGGTGGTGATTAGTGGACTCGTGTACGCCATATCACCTCAAAGAAGTTCTGGTAGTCGTAGAACAGGATAGCCACAGAGTCAAAGCTGGCTTGCTGCAACTAAACCCCACATTACCCTCTTGATACAAATGCATGTATGATAGGATCTGATGTAAGTCTTGCTGAGTACCTTTGTACTCATGTTGCTTTATTTATGTTTTTTCAGCGGAGACTTCGGTCTTAATAGTGTTCTCGTGGACTTCGACGAGTAGTTTGTACCTCAGCTACGATCTTGATCGGATGTTGTAGATAGTCAGACTCTTCAGCCTTTTTCATTTGTAGATGTCTGTACCCAGACATGTAATGCTTTCGCTTGTTGCTTGTATGCTCTGTATGATGGGTCTTGTGACCCCTGTTTGAAATAAAGGCTATGATGGCTCTTTGAGCTTTATCTATGTGAGTTGTTGAGTTATGCTGTGATGCCATGTTGTACAGCACATACTTGCATGTTATGCGTACGTGTAATGTGTAATGCTATGTGTGGGATCTGACTATCTAGTTGTTTATCCTTAGTAGTCCTCTTACCGGGAAATGTCTCCTAGTGCTTCCACTGAGCCCTGGTAGCTTGCTACTGCTCCGGAACACCTAGGCTGGCCGGCATGTGTCCTTCTTCGATCCTGTGTCTGTCCCTTCGGGGAAATGTCACGCGATGAATACCGGAGTCCTATTAGCCCGCTACAGCCCGGTTCACCGGAGTCCTGTTAGCCCAGTGCTACAGCCTGGATTCACTCGCTGATGACCGACACGTTCGAGGCTGGGTCATGGATGCCTGTCCCTGTAAGGTAGTGCCACTTTGGGTTTACGACTAGCCATGTCAGCCCGGGCTCCTTATCATATGGATGCTAGCGACACCATCATATACGTGTGCCAAAAGGCGCAAACGGTCCCGGGAAAAGGTAAGGCGACACCCATGGGGATACCGTGCGTGAGACCGCAAAGTGATATGAGGTGTTACATGCTAGATCGATGTGGCATTGAGTCGGGGTCTTGACAGTGGAGGTGCTGTCCGTTCGGCGCTAGTATCTCCGGTGATTTGGATCACGACGAGAACGACTCCCTCAACCCCGTTCTCTTGAACGCTTCCGCACGCGATCTACAAGGGTATGTAGATGCACTCCTCTCTCTCGTTGCTAGATGAACTCATAGATTGATCTTGGTGAATGTAGGAAAATTTTTATTTTATGCAACGTTCCCCAACAACTAAGTCTGACAATAAGAGTAGGGGATACATATGAGGAGGCAAGGACCTAGCTACGGTGAGGTTTTGTACACATGACTTTACGAGTCCAGGCCCCTCTCGGAGGAGGTAAAATCCCAACGTATCGGTGCCCTGAGGCGGTCGACTGAAATATGAGTGTGTGTGTGTGTGTGTTACAGGGGGTACGAACCCTTGTGCCAGAGGAGGGGGGTGGCTTATATATAGTGCGCCAGGACCCCAGCCATCCCACGTTACAGGGTTCAATGTACATTAAGACAGGGCGTTACTGGTAACGCCAGCAATAAATAGCTATCAATGATCTTTAAGACTACGGAGTGAACGCCTGACCATTGCCATCCTGGGTGATTCTAGGTCTTCTGCATTCCGAGTGGTTTCTTGTATGGTCGGGTGACTTCATCTTGGTCGAATGGAATTGGGGTATCCGAGTGAGATAACTGTCGAGTGGATTGCACTCCAAGGTTACTTCAGTCGGTACCTTTTGTTATACTTTGAATGTTCTTGATTCTAGGATAGTGACCTTGGGTAGGGCGTATAGGTCAGGCCTAGGACCCTACCCTAGGTCTATGGCATCATCATTAGCCCCCGAATGGATTGAGGTCTGAATGAAAAGAGAGTTGAAGTTGATCCCGACCTGATTCTTATGCTTTGTAGGCATTTTTTGAGTCTGGGAATCATGCTGAAACTTCAACTTTATTTCAGTCGCCTTGATCGATTCAGAGGTCGTCGAGTGAACTATACTGACAATCTTCGAGTGTTGATATGGTACAAAATCTTCGTCGCGATTGGTTACTCTGCGGTTCCTGGATCTCACGGGATTCAAAACTTTGGGGAAGCGCGCGGGACGGAGTGCGCCGCAGTAACCCATTCAACAAACCCGCAATTCTCCCCTTCCTGCAAAAAGAGCAAAAAGAGAAGAAAAAACAAGTTAGTTCATACCACAGGTTAATAAAGAAGAAGAGCACTAGCACTCAAATTAACGGTTTTTCCTTTCTACATTGGTAATAACAAATGCATCACTTATTCCAAATTACAACACCACTCAGCATGAGCTACACTGGTAATTGTACCTACCCACAAAATAACAGCATGAGCATCCCTAAATTACTGCACCACTCAGCTACAGATTTGAACTAGATTTTGGTAATCGGCTACAAAACAAGAGCAAGCTCAAACTGCAAAATTGGTGAACTGCCATAGCATATGTAGTACATACTATCCATTGATTTGAATATTTGTAGCAGTTAGCTACATAACAACAGGTGCATCCCAACATAAAAGTAATAGTTCACTGAATATTTAGTCCCAAACAGCAGCAAAAGTAACAGCAACATAAATAACAATAGCACTGTCATTCAACTACATAAAAATGCCACAACAACAACATGAAACCTATAGAAGTCCCAAACTGGATATTTAACATGAGAGCAAGAACAATGCCACTGCAAAATAACAGTAACATTGTCATTAAACTACACAAGCTATAGCTGTTGCAAAAGTGAATAATCAGCCCTAACAAAATGACAGTAAAGTTCCACTGCCAACCTAAATATGCCCTAATAATCAGGCCTAATAACTATGACCTTGTATTGATGTTCAATATGCCACTGTCAAACCAACAATAATATGACACTATCAACCTAAATATAATATCCCACTATCAACATACAATTCATATCGGCTCTGCACATGCTAAGAACTTTCTGCCTGTGTCTGTTCCTTCAAAGGTGGCAAGCCTCTCAGATGCCTTGTTGTGCTTCTCACATGGGGACATCAGATCCATCTCAAGCCCATGGTAATCGGGATCTTCAAGGCTGAAAGGGACCTGTAGAAGCTCGTACAAACAAAATGCCCAAATCAAACCCAACGAAATCAACCAAATCAAGAAGCCCCAAATCTAAAACCCTAACTCTAAACCTAGCTTAAGGAAACTCACCTGGTTAAGCGTTGGTGAATGAGGTCGAGTGCATGTATGACAGGCTGGACGTGTCCTCACTGCTTTCGTCTTCGAAAACCATGGCGGGCGGCGGTGGTCTGGTCCGGCACTGCTGCAGGCGATGACGCGGGAGGCGAGGAGCGAGGAGGGAGGCACGAGCGAGGAGGGAGGCACGAGCGAGGAGGAAGAGAGTGGGGCATGGGCCGGTCCAGTTCGAGCCGGACCGCACCTAGCGAGTGAGCGGGCGAGCGGGTGCCCATTTGCCAGTGTGGTAGCTGACATGCAAGCCCGGGCGGTCAGTTCCAGCGTCAATACGTATAAATATGAAGTTTAGCCTGATTTGCAACCGTTCACCTCAAACTTCATACTGACACTAAAAATTACCAAACTTGGTACCAACTCATCACCGCCGCCCAAAATGTGGTACTATCGTGCAATTATCTCAAAACTTCCAGAACCCTATAGCTGCGCCACAAGAGACAGGCTCCCGCGGCCGAAGCCGACCAGCCCAGTGGAGTTGTACCAGTCGCCCCCATTGTCTCTGCCGCAGCCGAACGCGACAGCTCCGGCAAAGGCGGCGGCCTGTACCTGGCCGGGGCCAGAGCCGAACGTGAGTGTCTCCATGCCCAGGCTGCCAGCCAAGTGGGAGCTGTCGCGGTAGCCGCAGAGGGAGCTAGGGGTGCATCCACGGCTGCACATGGGCAGGCACGCATTGCTGGAGCAGGTCAGAGGGGAGAAGCTGGATGAGGCGGTGGGGTCGTAGACGGGCATGTCATGCGGGAAGCAGACCTTGCACGGCCGACACTGCGTCCAGGTGAGGTCGCTGTCGGTGTCGAAGAGGGCAACGAACGGCACCGGCGGCGTCCCGATGGCGAGCTCCATGAGGTACTCGGCTTGGCCCGACCGGAACCTTGGCCTGGCCGGAGCCTTGGCCCGGCCACCGAGCTGGAAAATTCCGTGGCCTCTCGGAGGCGGCTTCTGTGTGCGGCTCGGCGCATCAGCACTGCCTTGGTGAAGCCGTCCTTGGAGTCAATGTGGGTGAGCGTGAAGCGGTAGCCGGAGCCGGACGGTGGTGGCGCCGCTGAGCTGACTAGTGAGGCAAGCACGAGCAAGCTCAGAGCTTGTAAGTGGCCCATGAAACTGAGCATGTGGATGATCAGGAGCTCTGCGGTCCGGGCTTGAAAAGTCATGTTCAAACTTTCATGTCATTATGTAGGAGAGTTTTTGAGCAGCTAAATTTTTGCCATCTTCCTCTTTCAAGATTCTGCACCTTAATTATGACAATGTCAAGATCCACGAGGTAAGTAGTAGGGGAACGTTAACAATGTTTGGAATGGAAGGTGATGGGCACAATCGTACCATCGTGATTTAGCATCTAGACGTACGTATATGAGCCCCCGTTTCGCCCCCGCTAGGGCGGCTCGCGCAGAACCCTACCCCCACAGCCGCTGGGCTCCCAACCCCTCCCTCCCATCCCCTCCACCGCCGTTGGAGTTGGCCACGGGAAAAGCCCCAGGCGGCTGACGGTGGCAGCAGAGGCTCCCTTCCCTCTCACATTCCTTTAGGTGAGGCGGGTCACCCGAGGCGCAGGGGCCCTCCTCCCCGATCTGAGCCATCATCGCGGCGGCGCGGCCGATCTGAGGCGGCCGCCGACGGAGCCTTGGCGGCATGGTGATGGGAGGAGACGGCGGAACGGCAGGCTTCATGGAAGATCTGGTGGTGCCGGCTGCTTGGTGGGCGTGCTTGTCATGGCGGCATAGGTCGCAGTGGCCGGAGGCTTGGCCGGTCGGCGGCGACGGAACATGGCCGGTGGCAGCGGCGATGTTCTGTCTGGATCCCGGGGCGGCGGCCCTGGAGGGTGGCGGCTGGTGAAGCTAGGGCTTCCCGCGGCGGCATGGCGTGGTGTCTCTGTCCAAGGTGGAACTCTGACGGCGATCTGCTATGGATTGGTTCGGATCAGAGATGGTGACGAGCGCGCGGGATCCATCTCGGCGACTCTCGCGGCTTGGCGAGGAGGGGTGGGAGCCCTCCTCCTAGGCTCCAGTGGTGGCACACTTAGGCTGTGGCCGGTGCACCAGGGCTCCTACAGTGGCACTGTTGTGCGGTTGGTCGCCAGATCTAGGTGGCTGGATCTGGGGCTTTGAAGGTGGTCGAGACGGTGCACATGTTGTCGGGTGGATTTCTTGGGACGGATCCGGGTGAAAACCTGGTTTTCAGTCGATGGCCGGAGCTGGTGATGACGATGCCCTTATCATCGTTTCCTTCATGAAGGCATCATCGAGGTGAAGTTCCCAACTCCACTCAATACCTCCGGGGGAAACCCTAGATCAGCTGATCGGATGTTCACTACTAGGGAAAACCCTAGTAGTATCACGGGTTTTGAGGCTAGCAGCAGCGCGGGTTGCCGCGCTACTAATAAGGCGCTAGCTAACTTATAGTAGTAGCGCGGTCCGCACCCGCGCTACTACTGTTGACGATATCAGCAGCGCTTTTGCAGAACGCGCTACTATTAGTTAGCTGTAGCGATTTCATTGTCCCTCGCTACTGCTATATCTTTCATCATTTCCCCCCTTTCCCTTTTTCGGTTTCAATAAACTGCAATTTTCAGATACTAAGTACTACTAGATATCAAATTCATAAACCATTATAAGTACTAGGTAGTACTCCCTACATTCCAAATTACTCGTCGTGGTTTTAGTTCAAACCACGACGAGTAATTTGGAACGAAGGGAGTACTAGATAACAATTTCATGCATAGTCAACATGCATCCTCAAGCAATACAAGGTCATATCGACGACGATCATCATATGTAGTTCTAGATGATATCGACGACGATCATCATATGTAGTTCTAGATGATATCGACGACGATCATCATATGTAGTTCTAGATGATATAGCCACACACACATATGTAGTTCTAGATGATATCGAAGACAATCATCATCCTGAAGCCTGGGCGGTTGGTGTTCCTGATAGTAATTAGGATGGCTTGTCCACCACGAAGATTCTTGTCATCGAGGAATTTCTTCCACCCAACCGAGTTTAAGTGTGTGCGACCGTCCGTGTCCACGTGGTAAGTACAGGTTGTGACGGAGCCCCTTGCAGTAAGGCGTAGTCCAGCTGAGCCTTCTTCATCAGGCTCGATACCATAACTCACAGATAGGCTCTTTGCCCATTTCTGAATAAGAAAAACATATCAATTAATAAATAGCCTCGCACATACTCTTGCAAATAAATATATATGAATTATCTACACTATTAATAGTTCCTTTGATTCGACAATAATAAGCATGTGATCGAACTCTACACTAAAACATATCATCGACTAGATTCCACACAACATACCATATCATTGGACTCTACACTATGTATTTCATCGGATAATTGGCATTTGTAAGTATAACATACCATATCATGTCGATCAACCATGGTACTTGTCAGACAGGTCACGAATGGCACCCCGACAAAGTCAGCACGTGGCGGAATTATGTCCCACAGGTTGGACACCTCCTCCTCGCTCAGCCTCATTCTTTGAGCTACGATGGCTTCATGAAGTGGGTCCTCATCATCTTCATCGAGTGGGTCCTCATTATCTTCATCATCTTCATCATCTTCGTCATCTTCATCGTCTTCCACCAGGTTGAGATAAATGACAGCCAGCTTGGGTCTTTCTGCTCTGAAGGAGTAGCTGATCAACTCACCACCAGTAAGACGCATGCGGGCGAGGAAACGGGCCCATCCATCTCCTCCAATCTGCGACATATTGCGTCCTTTCTCGACCTCCATAGTGTACGGCCCCCCAGGAGCCTCAAATGTCACAGTGTCTCCTGTCAGCTTGTTAAATTTCAACCTCACATTGCATGGGACGATCTGTGTAAAATAAGCAAAATGACACAATGTAGTAATGCCAACACTAAAAATAAAATAGTTGTTACATTTCATCTAATTTCTTACCGCCACATGATGAAAACTCGGCTGGAAGTAGATGACGAACAACTTACTAGTTGCAAGGCTGTTGGCGCACCTTGACTTGCACAGTCGATATAGTGGTGGTGGTGGTGGCACCATTTTTCCTAAAGCAATATGAGCAATGGATTAACGATCCACTTCACAGGAAAGAAAAACAGTAGCATGTGATATTTTTGGTTCTTCCGCGAGAAGCAATTTGATGGACAATTATAATCCTAAGATCTAGTAACATATTAGATGACAAGGTACCACCAACATTTTGCCAAAAATAACTTATTACAAAAAACAAAAGCATCTGCCTATCCATGTACAGAAAAAATAACAATAAAATGGTGCATACTAAATCAACTAAATCAACTAGCCTACTAAATCAACTAAATCAAAATGTTCTAAATCAACTAAATCAACTAGCCTACTAAATCAACTAAATCATATCAACTAAATCAAAATGTTACATATGAACTAGCCTACTAAATCAAAATGTAGTAGGGAGGAGGGAGAAGGAGGGGCGACTCGAGGAGGAAGAAGAGAGTAGGACGGAGGAGGAAGGCGGAGCGAGGAGGGGCCGGCCGGCGATAAGTGGAGGGAGGACGGAGGAGGAAGGCGGAGCGAGGAGGGGCCGGCCAGCGGCGAGTGGAGGGAGAACGGAGGAGGAGGCCGGTACCGAGTCCAGCAAGGAGGAGGAGGTGACGGCAGCGCGGAGGGAGGAGAGGCGACG